GGAGTTGCCCTGCTAATCCAAAGGCCACATCTTTTGGGTGGTGCAAACCTACCAAGACCTTTGAAAGAGAAAGAATTGCAATCTCTTTGCTTGGGCTCTATAACTTCGAAAATTCAAAGAGGGCCAACAATAAATTAGTTCCTACCTGAAGACAATGAGAGAGAGATTATAGTATATTTATTATAATTTTCCATTTATTATGTGCTTATGAATGTGCTTATTATTAATCCTCTTCATTGAAATATGTACGAACTTCATTATCAGTTTTGCAGATGAGAAAACTGAAATTTAAAGAATTTAATGTGAGAGTTTCAGTTTAACTACTACATTTAAACTTTAAAATATTTAAGAACTGGGTTCAGCTGATAGTAACAGAAATCTCAGCAATTAGTTAAGATCAGAGTAAGGGATTCAAACCCATCACACAAACGCAGGGTGGTTCACTGCATGTTGAACTGCTAACCTAAAGGTCAGTGGTTTGAATCCACTAGCTGCTCTTCAGAAGAGAGATGGGCAGTATCTTTCCTGTAAATATTTACAGCCTTCAGATACCTGGTGGAGTTCTTCATTCATTAGAAATTATATGATGGCAAATCCAAGGAAAATAAACAAATTTATTTTAAAAACAATCTGGGATTGTGGGTACCAGAAACAAAGTGTTTCAATTTATGGGAATGATGGATTCTTAAAGTAGAATAATTTAAGTAACATAGTTTAGGATGAAGTCAGATAAAGAGCTACTGACACCAAGCTTATACTACAGAATACCATAGCAAGTGTTTTTTCTCCAGTCTTGACTTTAGAAGGGAACGTTAGGTCATATATATGATTTGAGCTCTGGTGGCTTAGTAGTGAGGAATTGCTCTGCCAACACAAAAGTTTGCTGTTTGATTCCGCCAGCTGCTCCATGGGAGAAAGATCAGCAATTTTCTTCTGTGAGATTCACAGGCTTCGGAAAACCTGCTGTGGTTCGGTTCCAACTCGATGATACACAACAGTGATTTCCATGCAGCCTTAATGATGTACATTCTCACTACTCTAAGCACAAATGTTAGACTTTTAAAAGACTTTTAATGTTAGACATTAAAAGCCTCTTGTAGCCTAACAGTAAGAACCTGCACTGCAATCTCAAATTCATTGTTTGAATCCACCAATTACTCCAAGGAAAAAGGATGAGCAGTTGCCTGTCTTACGACTTAGTGCCTCGGAAAATCCACTAGAGGGTCAAATATGAGCGAGTTCTGACTTGATAACACACAGTAACAGCTTCAGTTATGTGGTACATGATGTATTAATTTAGTAAGGAGTGAGGAAGTTTAAGATTATATGCTGGTGATGTTTTGGAGTGGGAGTATAAAATGGTGCAACTACTATGGAAAGCGGTATGGCACATTATCAAAAAGTTGCAAACAGAAACACTATTTGACCCAGCAATTCCACTACTGGGAATATACCCTAAAGAAACCAGAACTTCCACCCAAGCATATGCACATCCATCTTTATTTTGGCTTTATTCACAATAGCAAAGAGTTGGAAACAATCTAAGTGCCCATCAACAAACAAATGAATAGAGAAGCTCTGGCATATTCACACAATGGAATACTATGCTGCGTTGAAAAACAAGGAACTCATGAAATAATACACAAAATGGGTGACCCTGGAAGACACTATGCTGAGTGAAATATCTCAGTCACAAAAGGACAAATACTGCATAGGGCCACTGTTGTAAACTGGGACTGATATTGGGGTTGAGGGAAAACTAAGAAAGAGGGGATAAATAACTTATACTGCATTGAAACAAATGAGGGAGAGAACTGTTTAAAAGGGATATATTATTAGGTATTATTGTCACAATAGGAGTCCGGAATGAATGCAACATAGCAGAGTGGACTTGGGGGGAGGGATTGTGTAACAATGAAAGAATTTCTCTTTTATTTTTAGAGAGAAGCGTGCATCAATGAATGAATGGAAACCCTAAGTCTCTGTAAACTTAAAATTAATTTAAAAATGTTAAAAATTAAAAAAAATATTAACAGCCTCAGGGATTGTTTTGTTTCTCAGAGGTGGAGATCAGATCTGCCTCCATTTCTCAATCAATGTCTAATATGGATGCCTCCTACAAATTGAGAGGAGTGATAGTTGACGGAATTGATGGAACATATTTCAAACATATTTCTTTTTTATTTTTTTCATATTTCAAAAAACTGGACGTGCTTGATACATCATTCTAAGAAATTTGTGAGATAGCTACCTGTGCAATTGACTGGAAGAGATCATCTGTATTTGTTCCCATTTGATCCAATGTTGTTATGTGCCAAGTCGCCTGTGACTCATAGCAACCCTATGTGCATTACCTCTGAAATCTGCCCTATTCTGAGCCAATCTCATCATCTCTGACAGACTTAATTCCATTTCTCCTGTCACTGAGTCAGTCCATCTCTTCTGCACTGACCCTCTATCCTTCCAAGCATGATGTCTCTCTCCAAGGATGGGTCACTCATGGACACATGGCCAAAGAATGTGAAACAGAGCCTAAAAGTTCTTGCCTCCAGGGAGCAGCCTGGCTTCATCCTCTCCAGCACAGATCTGTTTGTTCTCCTGACAGTCCACAGTACATTCAACACTCTTCTCCAGCACCCCAACTTAACGATATTGACCCTTCTTTTATCATCCTTAGCTATTGTTCAGCTCTTTGATGCATAGCAAGTAACTGAGAAGACCATGGCCTGGACCGTGCACACCTTAGTCTCCATACTGATATTGTTGCTCTTCAGTACCCTGGAGAGGTTTCTGACAGCAGGCTTTCCCATTGCAATTAATTTTTTGGTGCTAAGAGTGTTGATTATGCAACCAAGTAAGCTGAAGTTATCAACAATCTTAATCTCTTCTCTGTTCATCATGAAGCTGCTAATTGGCCCAGTTGTGAGAATCTTTGTTTTCTTGATGCTGAGCTTCAGGTCATATTGAAGACTACAGTTCATGACCTTCTGCAGCAAATGCCTCATGTCCTCTTCAGTTTCAGCAAGTAATGTCATCGCATCTGCATAACACAAGTTGTTGATGTGTCCTCCTCCAATTCTGATTCCACATTCCTCCTCATAAAGTCCAGTCTCTTGAATGATCTGTTCTGTACACAGATTGAAAAGATATGGAGATAGGATGCCCCCTGACATAACAACTTTCCTGATTTGGAACCATGCAGTGTTTCCCTACTCTGTTCTGTCTACTCTTCCTGGTCCAAGTATATAGGTTTTGCAGGAGCACAATTAAGTATTCTTGAATCCCCACTCTTCTCATTTAGAGAAGACTAGCAGATATGGTACCAGAGGCAGAACCTTCTTAATGGGAATCACAAAAGAGGAGGAACAGTTGCAAAGGGACACTACTGACAGGAACATGGAATGTGAGAAATATGAATGTAGGAAAATTGGAGATTGTTAAACGGAACACATAAATATTGACTAGTAAAATGAAATGGGTTGGCATGGAATATTTTGAATCAGGTAATCACATGATCTACTATGCTGTAGATAAAAAGGTGAAGGAAAATGGAATTGACAGCATAGTTGAAAAGATAATTTGTGAGTGACAGGATAATATACATACACATACAAGGAAGACCTGCTAATGCCACTATCATTCAAATATATGCATCAACAACCAGGATCAAAAACGACGAAACAGATGATCTCTTCCAACTTTTACAGCAGAAAATCGTTTTGATCCAATAGAACCTAGAAATTATCAACAATATCATTACTATCACATAAGAGTAAAATCTGGCTGAAGATTATTTAAAAACAGCTAGAAAAACCTATCAACAGGGAACTTTTAAATCATTGTTGTTGATATTAGGTGTCATCAAGTCAAGTATGACCCATAGCAACCCTGTGAACAACAGATCTGAACCCTGTCCTATCCTGTGCCATCCTCATCATCTCTGACATACTCCAGGCCATCGCAGCTGTCACTGTGTCAAGTCCATCTGGTTGAGGGTCTTTCTTGCTTTCCTAACCCTCTACTTTTCCAAATATGGTGTCTGTCTCCAAGAAATAGCCCCTCCTAAAAACATGCCCAAAGTAGGTAAGGTTTCTTTCTCATCTTCGCCTCCAAGGAGCACTGTGGCTGCATTTTCTCCAAGACATATCTGTTTGTTCTTCTGGCAGCTAAATCATTAGACAATGGCTAAACCATGGACTGCCAAATCCCATGGACTACCAAAAAATCCCATGGACTGCCAAAAGAACAAACGAGTCTGGGTCTAGGAAGAGGTGTAACAAGGATGCTCCTTAGAAGCAAGGATGGTGAAACTTTGTTTCACAGACTTTGGACATATCAGGTGGGACCAGGTTTTGGAAAAAAAGACATTAAGCTGTAAAGGGTGGAGGGTCAGTGAAAAAGATCCTCAACAAGTTGGCTTGACGTAGTGTCTGTCACAATGGTCTGGAATATATCCGAGATGGTGAGGGTGGCGCAGGAAAGGGCAAATTTCAGATCAGTGGTTTATAGGGTCACTGCGGGTTGTAGTGGAGTGGACACTAACAATTGGTGATAGTGAATTATCTTTAAGTAGAAAATTCTTCCCGAGAGACGACCGGCCAAGGTCACGCCAGCCCTTCGCCCAGTCTGTTCTTTCAGCTGACAGCTTACCTGTTTCTATAGTAGTAAAGATTTGCTACCACTGCTGACCGACTTTGCAGCCTGGCTAAAGTGGCCATATCTTCTCTGCCAGAGGTTTACAGCATGTTGTTACTATCGGTCGCCATGGCAACGGGGCCAAACCATTAGCCATTCCCAGGGTTCTACTTTTCTTTCATTCCTCTATTCTTTCGTTTTTGTTCTAGCTTCCAAGACAGCCTACAACTGATTAACCACATTATGGGGAGAAAAAGGTTTGATTTCGCTGCCAGCATTTCTCTTGCGAGTGGAGAGGAAGAACGCACAAGGGGCGGGGACCGAATGGTAGATCTGAGCATCCGGTTTCCGCCTCCCTCCTGCTTCCGGAAGCTCCTCTGAAAATGCTGAACTGCTCCCTGGAAGGGGCCGGTGCTCTGGTACTTGGGGTCTTTTCTCGGGCCTGAGCCCCGAGGCCAAGCTCCTGGGTGTCGTTGATGTTCGGGGCGGCCAGGCGCCCACCGATCGGAGCTCCACCCGCCCGCAACAACTGGTGAGGCCGGCGGCCCTGGGGCTGGGGCGCTGGAGGGGGTGTGATGGCCGAGGGCGCTTGCCCAGCCGTGCAGACGGGAAGGGTGTTGTGATGTGGATGATCTGGAACCCCGTAGACCTTGCTTTTCCTCCTGCCTGGGATGGATGCAGCATGAGGGAGGCGTGGAGTTGTGTGTTAAAGGTGTGTGAAGGAATACAGTGTTGCTGATAACTTGATTAAATAAAGTACAGTATTTTAGGAGTAATGCCCTGGGACCCCCCCCCCCCCCTTGATAGTTGACAAGGGAAGGGGCAAGGACAATTGCTCTTAATGCTAACATTATTCACTCACACCCCTTTCAGTGCATACCGTATGTATTAGAGGATCAAAGCTCTTAAGCTAGAGTTCTGCAAGTTCTGTAGTGGAAGAGACAGCACTCGCACCTTGTTTGAGGAAAGAGTAATCTTATCTACTTTATCCTCTTGGAGAAAAGCCATTGTAGTTCAGCTGTGATGTGTTTATATGTTCCATAAACTTTAGATGTCAGAGTTATGTTTGAAGTTTAACTACATCTGTAATATAGTGGATGCCAAAGATACATTGCTTGGACTGAACAAAGTTCTTTGGTCATATTTATCCTTACTACAGGCCCGGCATCTGGTGACTTAGTGGTACGGACAGCCTCGGCAAATCAAAGGTGCAAATCAAATCCGCGAGCTGCCTCGAGGGAGAAAGATAGGCAGTCTCCCCCCATTTGCTTTACTACCTCTGAAAACCAGCTGGAGGGTCAGCTATGGGTTGGTTCTGACTCGACAGTACACATGAACCACAACAGCAGTTGAAGACTAATGTTACCTGTCTTTTTTCTCAAGCTTGCACAAGACAGTGAAACGCACAAGTTAATTTCCCACTGTTGGTGCTCTGACACTATGCTTTGCCCAGCAATTGACTTTTGGCTAAAAATTACATGCTGACTCCTAAACCCCACACACTCTTGAGAGCATGGGAATTCTGATAGCCGGCATTCTCAAACCATTCCCTTCTGTGACCTGCCACTAAAAATTTAAAATAATTTATTGCCCCAAAGTATTTTGAAGTGGACCAGAACATATTATGAATATAGATTTGTGTATGTTTTGATTTTTTAAAAAGAAACACTTAAAAATGAACAAATCCTGAAGTGTTTCATTTGATTAGTTTTGGCATTTGTATATCCAACACCAAACAGTTTGTAGTAGATTCCAGCTTAGGGCTAGCTATCGTTTGATTTCCCAGAATGTAAACCTTTACAGGAGGACAATACCTCATCCTTCTCTTTTGGAGGGCAGTTGTCTAAGTTATACTAGACTTGTATGTAAATCACCATACAGTACAAGATATAGGGCATTATTCCTCAGAAGAGTTCCTTTTTTGGGGTGTCTTTATATTTCATCATTCAAGATCTTGTTGGTCTCTTGCTAGGGAGATTCTGATTTGTAAGATAGGTGACTATGAAAATATAAGACTCACTGTTTTGTTTTACTCTCCTACCTTTTATCTTTTATACCCTTTTTATGATATAGAGAAACCCTCCTTCAGTTCTCTTTTAAAGAACCAATTCTCTTTTCCTTTGCAGCATGCAACTTATACCTTATGGCCCCAGAATATGACATAGTACCTAGCATTTTATCAATGTCTTTGAATGAAATTCTTAAAATCATATAGTTTGACACAATGAAGGTCTTTACTAAAACTTTTTTTTTTAAAATTTCACACAGTTGTCTATTCATTCTAAATAATAATGCAATTATCTTCGTATTTCATCAAGCAAATAGATACTGTACCATATGTGTATGTCTTTCTTCCTACTGGTAAAATCTTAGCAGCACTGGAGATGCTACCACACAGTGCTTGGTGCCAAGTACTACATACATGGATACATGGATACATACATAGATACATACATAGATACATACATACATACATACATTTTATGTAAGCCTTCAGAGGGAGGTGGCTCTCGTTTTTGTTTTTTTACAGATGGTGAAATGTCAGGCTGGTTTAAATCATTTTCCCAAATGTCATTTGCAGTCTGATTGCAGTATGATGATCCACTGAATATGACCTTATGAAAACTGTTTAAACTTCTGCTCTATCCTGAGCTATTCTTGCCATGTCTGATATGATCGATCCAGTTGTTACAGCCACTGTGTCATTCTTGTTGAGGGTCTTCCTTCACTGACTCTCCACCTTTCCAAGCATGATGTCTTTTCCAAAGATTGGTCCTTCATGACGACTTGCACAAAGTATATGAAACCAAGGTTCACCATCCCTAATGGAGATCACTCTGGCAGCGTAGTCTGGAGGTAGTTGAGCTGCTGACCCAAGAATGGTGCTTTTCTAGTGGTTCCAATCCACCAGTGATATAGGCATGCTCTTCCCATGTGATTTATAGCTTTTGGAAAACCATTTGGAAGGTCCTCTATGAGTCAGTTCCAACTGGACAACAATGAGAGAGAAACTAAAAGACACTTCATAACCGCTATTACATACTATTATATGTATATAGATGGATAGATAGCTATGTATCTTAGGTTTATTATATACCAGGGAACTCTTGTTAAGGAATCCTGGTGGTCTCATGTCTTAAGCATTAGACTGACAACCACAATGTCAAAATTCCCCCAGCTGCTTTGTGGGACAAAGCTTCTGGAAGGATGTACAGCCTTTGGAAGGCCTATTGGACAGTTCTGGTGTTTAATACTGTTTTGTGTCAGAATCAACCCTGGCAGTAGGTTTTTAATTTATAAACCTTTTAGAGGGTCAACCATGAGTCACTTTTGACTCTACAGCAAGAAAGGAGAGAAATTGTCTAGAAATGTTAGTTTGGAAAGTATCTTTCCTTTGCTCATCATCCATGATGACATTGGTTTGCTCAGCCAACAGATGGTTTGTTTGTTGTTTTTTATTTTAAACATTTACTATGTGTCAAACACTGTTTTTACTTTGTATTAGGTGCTGTTGAACTGATTTCAACTGTTATTGGCCCCATGCATAACAGAAGGAAACATTGCCTGGTGCTGTGCCTTCTTCACAGTAGTTACTCTGACTAAGATACAGTCCATGAAGAAATATATACACTAGAAATCGTAAGCCCAGATTTGTAAAGCAACCTGGAGCCACCTGTGTTGGTGTCAACTTTTTTTTAAATGTGTACTTACACATTTTTTCGTATTTTTCATATTTTAGGCATCAAATGAATAAATGTAGTTGCTTATTATTTTAGTATCATATGTGAAAAAAACATACCTAGTATTTTATAATTAAAGGATCCAAGAAGGAAAAGCATAATGAATTTAAATAATGAAAATCCTATTTGTGTCAGGAAATTAGTATACTTTCTGTGTAAATAATCTTACATTTGACTCATTTTAGTTCTTATTAAGAAATTATAAGACTTGTGAAAGTCTTGCCTCTCTTTCTGCCCTGTCATTCACAACTTTTAAGATTAAAGCACCAAAATTATCTACTGTGGTACTTCTGAGATTAACCTGACTTCTAAAATTTGGTCCATTTGATTGACAAATCTCATTTAGAATTTAGGGGCTGCTTATACTACCTTTCACTTTGTTTTTATTTTGGATTGAGTTTTAAAATCAACTTCTGATTTCTTTGATATTTTAAGCATGTACTCAGACTCAGAAACTCATGGCATCAAGTGAGAACTGACTCATAGCTGACCCCCTCTCCCCCAGTGGCTGATTGCTTATCTTTCTCTCAGAGTCAAACTCAGAGTGAAATTCTTTACAAACTTGGCCACCAGAGCTCTCTAAAGTGTGTGTTGTTGTTGTGTGCTCTTGAGTCGGAACTGTTCCATAGCTCACTCTCCAGTGGGTTTTCAGAGGCATTAAATCCCATGGGAACGATTGTCCATACTTCTACAGAAGAGCAGTTAATGAATTTGAGATTGCAGAGGAGCTTCTTACTCTTAATTATGAGAACTCTGAAAACAGTGTACTAAAATGTAGTATTCCATTTATGTAACATTGTTATGTGGCTTCCCTTTTAAAAGCCTAATGGCTTAACCACATTGCTCTGGACCTCTTTTTCTGTAGTTTAGTGCTTATTGGGTATTTTTCATTGTTGTTTAGGTCTGGAAGACAGTAAAGTAAAAATGTACAGGTTATATTTCCCCCCCAATAACTTCTTCTTTTGGTCTTAAACTTCATGCTATACTGTTGGGATGTTTTGTTAAGTTTCTGTTTCAACAACTGAGAATTAAGCTAATATGATATAGGGCAAGTTGCTCATTCATCTAGGTATAACTTCTTAGTATTTTTTATTTCTTTATACTAGGCTGGAAACTTTTGAACAGTCCTTGACAGTTTATCCATAGCATTTACGTTTGCTTATTTAAACATCAGAGTATTTGCCTTTAAATTTGAAACTTTATTGTCTAAGGAATTCTGATAGTATAGTCTGTAGGGAATTGGTGGTTCGAATCCACCAGCAGCTCCACAGGAGAAAAGTAAGACAGGTTTGTCCCATGTGATTTGCAGCTTCAGAAACCTTTTAGAGAGTCAACTGTGAATCAGTTTTGACTCTACAGTGATGAAAGAGAGAAATTGTATAGAAATGTTAGTTTCAACAGTATCTTTCCTGTACTATTTATTCATCCATGATAACGTTGGTTTGCTTAGCCAACAGATTGGATTGTTTTATTTTTGTTTTGTTTTTTAAATTTTAAACTTTTGGTATCTGTCAGTCACCGTTTTTACTTTGTATTAGGTACTGCTGAACTGATTTCAACTTTTATTGGCCTCGTGCACAACAGAAGGAAACATTGCCTGGTGCTGTGCCTTTCCTCATAATGGTTACTATGTTTGGTCCTGTTGCTGTAGCCATGATGCCATTCTACCTCACTGAGGTTCTTCCTGGTTTTTGTTGACCCTCTACCATATCGTGTATGATGTCTTTCTCCAAGTATTGGTCTTTCCTGGTAACTTACATATGCTAACTACTTGCAGTAATATTTAGCATCA